CCTATTGCAAACAATGGCACAGACATGATGGGCCAATTGGCCTCCTTCTGTGCTGTATAATTCTTTGATTTTATGATGAACCATAAAAACCCTAAAATTCTTACATTTCTCCTGCTGCCCTTGTCTTTTTTGTATTAGATATTTACTAAGATTAATCTTTACGTTTGATATAACTCCTTTCACTTTCAGAGGACATCTCAAAGGGCTTCATAGGGCATATAGCAAAGTGGAGTGCTGTAGCTCAATGGTTAGAGCGCTCGCCTCGCAAGCAAGAGACCTGTGTTCGATTCCCAACAAGGCGAAATGTTGAGCAAGTTTCTTTACTCCACACACCTGTTTACCTAGCAGGAAGTAGGCAAATGGTTGTTAGTCAATTGGCAGATCGCTTTTCTGGGGGTAATAATTCCTTAAAAGTAATAATAATTTGGTCACCCAATCCACAACTGTGTGTTGGACACTGCTGTGCGCAATTGGCTCCTGCGATTCGCCCACAAAATATACAGCCGATTCACTTTACGATAAAAACAACAACAACTTGCACTTATATAGCGCTCTCCACACAGGGTAGCATTTCAGAGCACTTAACAGTGACAGAGCCTGACTCCAAGATGGGGGGGAGGGAGGTGACTGTAAGCATGGTCGAAAAAGAAGGTTTTCAGGTGGGATTTGAAAAATGGAAGAGTGGGGCAAGTGAGGGAGAGAGTTCCAGAGTTTTGGGGCATAGTGGCTGAATGTGTGAACTCCAATGGTGGAGCGGAGGGTCCGAGGGAAATTAGGAGGCTGATGCCTGTCGAGCGGATGACTGGAGGAGGTCGGAGAGGTAGGGAGGTGCCAGAGAGTGAATGGATTTGAAACCAATTCTGAGGATCTTGAAGTTGATCAGTTCGGTGATGTGGAGCCAGTGGAGCCTGCCGAGAACTGGTGAGATGTGGGTACGGAGTTTGGTCCGGGTATCAGTATGCGGGCAGCAGAATTCTGAATGAACTGGATTTTTTGAATAGTGGAGCTTGGGAGACAGGTGAGGAGTGCGTTTGAGTAATCCAGATGGGAGGTGGCAAACGGTTGCACGAGGGTTTCGGCTGCATTTGGGGTAAGATACAGTCAGACGCGGGCAATGTGGCAGAGGTGAAGGAAGGTGGTCCTGGTCAGGGACCTCATGTGGGAAAGGAGGGACAGCTGGGTTTCGAACCGGATGCCTAGATTGTGCACTGGTTCGGTGAGTCTGAGGGAGAGCCCAGGGAGATTGAGTTTAGATCTGCAAGAGTGAAGACATTGACGGGAGCCAAGCAGTATGGCTTCCGTCTTGTCAACATTCAGCCGCAGGAAGTTTGCACTCATCCAGGCCCTGATGTCTGCCAGACAAGCTGATAGAATATCGGTGGATCTGGAGTCGCAGCTGGAGGAGGCAAAGTAGATTTGTGCGGCATCCGCATACATGTGGAAGTTTACTGCGTGTCTGAGGATGATATCGCCAAGAGGGAGCATATAGATGAGGAAAAGAAGAAGGCCAAGGATGGAGCCATGGGGTACCCCGCAGGTGACTGGGTGGGGGCGGGAGGAGAAACCATTTGCCGAGATGAAGCAGAGGCAGTTGGATAACTATGACTTTACACTCTTTCCTGTGAAGCACTTTGAGACTTCTCAAAGATGTGATAAGGTGTCTTCAAAATGCAAGAATTATTATTATATTTTGTGGGTGAACACAGGCAGCCAATTAACACGCAGCAATGTGCTAGAAAAAGGCACAAAGTGAATGACAAATTTTATTTTGTGGATTTGTTGGCCAGAATGCAGGTACAAAGTCCCTCTCTTCCCACATAGCATCATGGTATCTTTAATATCCAACTGAACAGTTGGGATCTTGTCTTAAATATCTCATCTGAAGGACAGTACCTCCAACAATGTAGCACACGCCCAGCATTGCATTGGATTATCAGCCTGGACTATATGAGTTCCAAGACCTGATGTGGGGCTTGAACCTACACCCCTTTGATTCAGAGGTGTAAGTGCTACTGACTGAACCACACTGACGTCACTGACGCAAAATTGTCTTTGTGCTACAGGAACATTCAAACCCCATCAAATTGAAAGGTGAGATCATCGGGATCAGATTCCATAATGGAAAAACTAAGTTTGCAACCAGAGTCCAGGAGTCACCAAGTTATGGTAGACAATGTGGCAAGTGAGTATCTGCAGCATTTTTGGTGGATTTAAAATGCACTGTACTCTGGGAGTTGTGGTTCGTGTTATTTTAATGTATATCCTACATTTCTTGTAAGAAATGTAAGTGCTCCGAGATGCCTTTCGGCATGTAGGGCACCATATAAATGCAAGTTGTTGTTATATCACTATTAATTGTACTGTTCAAATAACTGTTGGGCCTCTAATATATTTTATATTTTCTTGATCTGATGTTTCATGGAACACAGAAACTCAACAAAGAATTGTAGTAAACACCAAAAATGCTGTAGTAAACAGCATTTTTATTCTATATTATTATTATTATATTATTATGTGTTTATTTTACCCCAATTCAACGCGAGTAAATTTTACAAATCATGACCGCAACTGGTAAAGAGAACATAAGAACATAATAGTTTTTTTAATATCTGGATAAGTAATTCACTCAAGTAATAATAATACTTTCATTTGATATACCACATTATCACATGATTGAGACATCTCAAAGTGCTTCACAGAATTTTACTATGACTTTGTATTTGTGGGCAAATGCAGTGATTAGTGCAAGCACAGCAATGTCCTACAAACAGTCATGATAATAATACTAATCCTTCTATTTAATATAGCACCTTACCACGTTGTCGAGATGTCTCAAAACGCTTCACAGAATATACTGTAAAGTGAATTGATTGTATATATTTTGTGGGCAAAACACGGCAGCCAATTGTGCACAGCAGTTTTGCACAAGCAGTTGTGGATTGAGTCCCCAAATTATTTTTTTTTGGAAGGATTATTACCCCTGGAAAAGCAATCTGCCAAACGGCTAACAACCGGGTTCCTACTTACAGCTAAGTAAACAGAGGTGTGGGAGTAAGAAATTTGCCTAAGGTTTCGCTGGGCCTGAGAATTGAACTCAGGTCCTCTCGCTTGTGAGGCGAGTGCTCTAACCAATACACTACAGGACTCCACAAGGTATTTTCTGAGGTATCTCTTCCTAGAGGTTTACGTAACCCGGGATATGTACGCTACAATACTTCAGGAGATCATGCGTGATTTTAATCTGTAATATGCAGGCAGGGATGTAGGCGAGCCATGGCCACTTGTAGTCAATGAGGAGAAAGGTTCTAAGAGTTTAAAAAAAGGAACACGGTGAGGCAATGCGAACACAGCTTAATTAATGAACAACAAATATCGGGACCAGAATGTTTCTGAGGCCTCTATAGTATGTACAGAGGGTTTTTGCTAAATCAGATTCAAAAGAGTTAAATGATACTGAAAACAATCAGATCCCAAATTCTATAAAAGATTATCAATTGAAGGGTTGGTAGAGAAATGAACAAGCTTGGGGTAAAGCATAATTTGCCTTGCAAGCGAGAGACCTTGGTTCTATTCCCGGCAGGACGAAATGTTGGGCAAGTTTCCTTACTCCACACGCCTCTGTTTACCTAGCAGTAAGTAGGAACCCGGTTGTTAGTCGATTGGCGGATGGCTTTTCCGGGGATAATAATCCCTAAAAAATATATTATGGTTCAGCTTATTCTCTCCAGACCTTTATGCTGTCTTACACCAAGGCAGATAAAATTCTAATAAAATAAGATAAAATTCTAGTGCATGTAAGAGCCCACAATATGATTGAAATACAAGTCAATTTAACCCTTCAGACAGAAGCTTTCAGAGCATCCTTTACCGCCACTGTTCCTAAGCCTTAGATTCCATTTGCGAACCATTTTATTTGGCGTACTGTTGTTCCAAGACAACAGGAGAAACTCTCTTCTCTTTTCAAATAGTGCCACCACTCTCAGCGTCGTTAGAGATGATTATGCACTATTACTCCACAGGATGTCAGGACTTATATAGCCTAGGCTCACACTCATTGCAGTGCAGGGAGGTTCGCCACATTCTTGGAAGTGATATCCTTCGGATAAGATGTTAAATTTGTCTTCGTCTGACATTTGTGACATTTGTGAAAAATATACAAATCTCTACATCTTATAGCAAATCCTGTGGAGCGCTGAGTCTTTCTCACAAGAGGTTCCTTATCAATTGCAAGGATTATTACTGTTCCTCCCCCCCCCCCCGCCCCCCCAGGCACCGCAGCCCTCACCGGTTGGCACAATTTCCCCAGTAAGATGAAAATTGTGTCAACTGGTTCCTGCAGTCTCTCATTATAGCTGTTTCCTATTTGAAGCAGTGATAATATGTGTAAATTGCAAGAAAAAAAATGGGTATAGGGTATCTGAACACACATTGGTGGAACACAATGCAATTCGAGACACAGAGAGAAATGCTCTGAAACACAAAGAAACTACAATCTGCAAACCCCCCCCTCCCACCAGGCAAACTGCGAGGGGCGCGTGCGCAGACCGCGGCGGGCTGGGACTTTGCGGGGCATCATGGGAATTGTGGTTCATCAACATCCATGGGGGCCGACTGTGGGGAAGAATGCATAGACCAATTAATAAACCATAAAAAAATGAGAATGGTGGGGGGGCGGTAGAAAAGGGAACGAGCCCGCCACCGGCAGCAGCAGGTGTGCGAGGGTTTTAAGAAAAGAGAAACGGGGAGGGGGCAAACGCTGTAAGAGGATGGAAATGGAGGAAACGTACTACAAATCCCGGCGTGCACAGCGGCGGGGGCGGAGAAAGGGTTGCTGCGCACAGGCGCACTGGGCAGCGCAAGAGCATCTGTGAGAGGCGGCGGCGGCGGCCGGGGATGGGAGCTCGCGCGGAGGGCGGGAGCCGCGCGCGCGCGTGTGCGGAGGGGGGGGGGGTGGGTGGAGGAGAGGGAATGATTGCGCGCGCAGGTCGGCTGGGGAGTGCGCGCAGGGGCTGCCGGGATAGGGTCCCGGAGTGGCCGCCATATTGGAAGCAGGTCCGGTCCTGTCAGTGAGAGGCGCCGAGCCGAGGTGTGCACTTCTGGTCGTGGCTTTCTCTCTTTTTTTTGTGTTTAAAAAAATATATACATAAAAAATTATTACCTGTACACACGCGCACCTACATTTTATATATGTAAATACAGACAGAGTTGCGGTTCGAGTCCCCGGGAAACGCCGGCAAGACGATTTTTTTTGTCTTTTTTTTCTCTCCCCCCCCCCCCCCCTCCCCTCGTCGTCCTCCTCTCTCTCTCTCTCTCTCTCTCCCCCTCTCTCCCCCCCTCCTCCTCCTCCCTCCTTAAAGTAGATCGAGCTGATCTACGACGATCCGAGTGAAAGAAAGAGGGGAAACATGAGTCCGGCCGACGCGAAGCGAGCCAAAAGGAGGAAAAATAAGCGGGGCGGTGGCAAGACAGTGAGCCGTCAACAAAAACCCCTGACGCCTTCCTCCAGCCATGGGAACAGCGGCGGCACCAACGGCACCTTGCACGGGGAGGTAATGGGCAGCTTCTCAAATAGCGCGCCCGCCCGCCCGCCCGCCGTCAGGGGCTGTCGGTGGGGGAAGGGTTTTATATATACTGTATATATATGTGTGTGTGTGTGTGTGTGTATATGATATCCTAAAATATCCAGTCAGCCCCAAGCCATGGCCTATGTGGCCACCGAGCCCCGCTCTGGCGTCGGTGCTGTGTGTGGCGGTGGTGAAGAAAAGCACAGGCACTGACTGACTGACTGACTGACTGCCTGTGGGGTGTGGAGGGTGAGACAGACAGACAGGGCGTTGTAAACTCCAGCCTGTGCCTGTAGGCCTCGGTACCTGAAAGTAATCCTTCAAACTCCCGAGTGGGATGGATCTGTATCTGTGGGCAAACCTGGACACGAGTTGCCCTTTTTTTTTTGCTGTTTACAAACTCCAGTGTTGGTTGTTCGTTTGCCATTTGTTTATCCTTTTATGGTTTTTTTAAAAAAAACTTGGAATCGAAATAATTGTTGAAACCTTTTTTTAAGTGGCTGACATGAATTGTGGCTTGTTGAGGAACACAATGCATCACATTTTCAGTTTCAGATATATTAGGGCTTTATTTTCTGGATTTGCAGGAATCAATCTAATGTTTGGTTATTTGGAATTTTCCAATTCATATTCTCCCAGTTATCTCAGATGCTTTTTCACTTTTGATTGGTCAGTGAGTTGGTATTCGCAATGAGAACAGTTGTATCTGCAGATCTGTATAGAATCGTGCTTGTATAATTTATGAGCTTTTCACTTATTATTGTACTGTAATATTTCCAGTTACTGCCTCCTCATCTGTCCAAATATTACTTTAGAGTAAACTGCTTTGAAGAAGAATTACAAAATATTACTACCAAAAGGTTATGGGTGATTTTCAATGAAAACTGTTACTCAGGAACTACTGACAATAGCTTCCTTTGCACTTACATGTTTTAGGCTTTAAAATATTTAGATATTCATTGTCCAACAGCTTGAATTTACATGGTGTCCTTCACATAGGGTACCATCTTTGGTGTGCTTCATAAAGACTGGATTGTACGCTGAGCAAGTGGGAGATGGAAGGTGACCATAGATGCAGTTGAAGAGTTAGATTTTTAGGCAGAATTCAAAGGTGTATGGATGGCCAAGGAAGGATAGAGAGTTAGGAGTTCCAGAGCTTAGGAGTGTAGTTCCTAGTGGTGAGGCCACTAATGGTGTGGTGGGGGACACAGCAGGTTTGAGTTAGCCGAATAGAGAGGGGGAGCAAGAGACTGGGGTACAAGAAGTTCACAAGGATAAATACAGATAGGTTTTGATATTTACTTTGAAGCTAGTGCTAATCTTAGTTTAAAGCATCATTTACTAATGCAATTTTTCTGCAGTTTGCATTGAGTTTTAATTTGGATTAAATTAGTTGAATCCAGTATTCCAGTTAGAGATGGATTGCATGTGTATAACTAAAACAGCTTCCTAAACAAGGGATCAATAATGGGGGAGGGGATGAAACTGTGGTGGACTAATGTGAAAAGAAAAGTTTGTTTAGAAACTTTAGCAGCCTTTGAAACTTCTTTGACTCCATCATCCAAATTAAGGCAACTCTCATGAGAGTTAAAATTGGTAAATGAAAGTAAAAAGCGATTGTTCAAAAGAGTTGGGCAGACGTATTAGATTTACACATAGCTCAGTTGTATTGCATCCAACAAGTATGAATGTGTCAAGTTACAAGTAGTGATAAATAATAATAATAATCCTCGCATTTGATATAGTGCCTCATCACGTCTTCGAGACGTCTCAAAGCGCTTCACCGAATATACTGTAAAGTGAATTGACTGTATTTTGTAGGAGAAAGTCTTTTTGAACAACAACTTGCATTTATATGGCACCCCCTCAAGCAGGGTAGCATTCCAGAGGAAAAAACATAATAGTTTTCTTTTTACTTCTATTTCTATTTCCAATCCAAAATATCTCTAGAAAAAAGGATTTTTAAAGTTTCGCCATAGATTTAGTCATAAATGCAAGCACAATTTACTTGCTTTGAAAGCTATTTACTATTGTACTGTAATGCCTTTTGGCAGTCTGCAAGATTTTGTGTACATTGTCTTACAAATGACACAATTTTGTGTTAGATATTGAATGCTTTGCTTAGCTATTTTGCTTCAGTTAAATGTCTGAATTTTTGATTTTCGCTTTGTATGATTCCAAAATCTATCTGATTGGATGCCAGGTAATCCTTTAAATGAGATGAGTTTGGAGAGTATATCTTTGTAACTAGTTTCCTTTGTCATTTGTATTTTCCTTAAATTGCAGCTTGCTAAACCGTTTGACCTACTTTTCACCATTATAAAAAATTATTTGCTTGATCTTTTTGTGCAAGTATTGTATACTATATTTAGGGCTTTTATTAAATAGTTAACTGCAGTAATTTAAAGTGACTTTAAGTAATGTAAATTGTGAATCTTATGCACAGAAAAGAAGATAGTAATGATGTATTATAATTTATTATTATTGAAATGAATAGAAAATTGTGTCCTTTTAAAGAGAACTGATTTTTGTATGATGGGCAAAGAACCATGAGACCTCCACTACAATACCAAATATTTAAATTATACATTAACAATCTGTAGTATGCAATAGTTAATATTATCTTGGAAAATCCTCTTCTTGATTCTTAGCTTGAAAGGATTGCTTCTGTTCACCGAGGTTTATGGCATTCATAGTGTGCAGTATACTGCCTTTGTATAGTATTTAACATAGTCTGACAGAGTGGTAGCTTCTTTACATTAATATTTATTTTATTACTGATCGTTTCTGTGAATTTTCAACCAACGTTGCACAGCTTCATTTATATTTTTACTTTACAATATCCACAATGAGGATTCTTGAATGTATATTAATGATTATGCTGTCTGTCTTCACCGCCGCAATGAAAAATGCAATTTTCTATCATAGAATCTGTACAATGATACTATTCGTGTATAGATCCAGATTTACTAGTGTCTCTTCACTTCACACCGTGTTTAATGTCCTGATACTTCCAGTAAAGCGAATGAGACAGTAATAACCAGTTTATTGACCATATGTGTATCATAAATGACTCTAGATTTCCTTCTCACAACAACAACATCTTGTATTTATATAGAGCCTTTCATGCGGGGTAGCGTCCCGGAGCACTGACAGTGGCGGAGTCTGACCCTGAGCCAGGGGAAGAGGGAAGGGGCAGGTGACGGTAAACATGGTCAAAAATGAAGGTCTTTAGGTGGGATTTGAAAGTAGGGAGGGGCAAGGCGAAGGGATTGTGGGAGAGAGTTCCATAGCTTCGGGGAGTAGTTGTTGAAAGCACGGCAGCCAATGGTGGAACGGAGGGGCCGAGGAATAAACAGGAGCCGGCCGAGTGGAGGCAGCGGGTGGTGGAGTGTGGGATAAGTGGAGTTCTAAATTAGTTGAATTTTGTGTATGATGGAATTGGGGAGATCAGCGAGGAGAGCATTTGAACAGACCCGCCAGGAATGACAAAGGCGTGGACGAGGGTTTCGGCTGCTATGGGGCTGAGGTACGGAAGAACGCAGGCAATGTGACAATATAAGCATTTATATAAGCTTCCCAGAGCTCACCATTCCAATACATTTGTGTACACCTCTTCAATTCTGATCTCGAAACATGCTGCTGTAGGGATTTACAAATCTTCCTTTAGTTTGGCTCCCCTCTTCCACCCCATCTAAAAGATAGCAGGTTTTTGAACTTCGTTAAACAAATTAAAGGTACTTACACACACAAAATTGCAAAAGAAAACTTTGGATAAATTTGATATCAGTAATCCCATCTCAAGGTTTGGATGAGATCATTAATTGTAAATGGTTGATGACCTCATCTGAACCCTTTGCTGAAGGTACTGTTAGGATCCTTAGAATATCCTGATTCAGAATGTGTTATTTTTTTTAATTGCTGTATGTTTCACTGCAATCTAATAATTCAGATAACAAAAGTGATTTATCCCATGAGGTAACAGTGAAAGTGCTACAGTAGAAATGAGAAGTTCTCAGCCCAAGAAACTTCACCACAGAAATTCTGGCACTTACAATTTAAACTCCATTCTTACATAAAGTTGTAGTTTGAGAAATAATAAACCAGCTAATGTTTAATCTACTGCCAAAAAACTCAGTAGTGTAGTATCTGGTTTCTACATCACTATCAGCTTTATTACCCTTTCACTGTTTTCTGTCACACTTGATGGATCTATAATGTAATTGTAGGAAAATTCAAGTTTTTTTTTAAAAAAGGAATATAAATGGGTAGATTAGGGTTTTGATTCAGTCTTGTGGTTTGGTGCTCTCTTAGCTGTTTCTTTAAAAGCACCAGAAACAAATTATTTAACTGAAGATTTAATTCTTGTTGCTAATTTTCCCAACTACTTCACCTTCATGTGAAGTACTCCTCAGCAGACTCTAGAGTCACCTAAACACTGCTTTTGTTTGTCAGTGCTATTCTCTAGTACTTTGAAAAGAGGCAAACTTGTACTCACATAAAGAATACACGGTTTCTTCTGTCATAGCACCTTATCTTAGGGAGAGTTAGAAATTCATAAGGCCAATGACCAGTCTCCAGTCCAAGCCACATTATGTTGCTGTTCATGGAGTAGCAGCTGCATCGGAGTGTATAACCTCAAAAGCATGGCTCCCTTCTGTTTCAGGGAAGAAGTATGGAGATAGGAGGCAGCTGTGGGACATAAGTTTTTTTTAATAAGAATTGTTGAGAGAACAGTGACCAACGTGGAACCTTCATAGGCCCTGAATGACTTGACCACTGCTTTCTATGCCTTTCATTCATTTAATATAATCTTCTCTGACTTATACCTTTACTTTCCTTTATGGAACCACAACCATTTAGTACCTTGTCCCTGGTAGGAGCTACTCCCTTTCCTTGTGCAACTGTGCTGATCTGTATTAAATTGCAAACGTCAAAGATCAGTCTTTCAGAAGTTAATATAATATATATTACATGTGCTGTGA